AAGATTTAAGTTGTAAATCTTTTGCCATCTTTTTACTGATAAAGGTTTTCTGTGACCCTTGATCAAAAAAGCCTCTAGTTGGAATACAAATTCCTTGATTGCATAGTTCTAGCTGTGCAGTAGGCAATATGGTTGTTGTAACAATTTCTGTATCCAAGTCGTTGACATTGCTCATTACTGTACAGAATTGTACGGCTGTTGTGGTATTATCATCTTTGGGCTTTGCCTGAGATGCAGGTTGATTATTGGAAGTTTGTGATCTGGATTGAGTGTTAATATCACCACAGAGTGCTGTGTGATGTACACTTTTATGACAATATTGGCAGTTCTGCAACTGAGTGATACACTCACTTGTATCGTGCTTCCGTAGACAACGGATGCACCTGTTCAGAGATTTCAGTCGATCGATTCGACTGGCACGGCCTACATAAACTGTGCATTGATAAATGATATGTGCTTCTTGACAGAATAAACATTTTGGGGCACTTGCAGCTCCTTTTGTCTTATCTGTCTTAGGAGCTTGGTTTCCTACAGTTCTGTTAACTGTGAAGGATATAGCATAAGAGCCAACATTATTCTGTTTCCACTTTGCAGAAGAGGAATTTTGTTGCCTTGATTTTTGACTGCCATTCTGGACATTTTTGCTTTTGTCCGTGGATTCACCTTTGGGGATTTTTTCTTGAGATCTAAGTTTTCCTCGGCTTCGTAATCTTTGTACGTAAGCTCGAAGTCCATCAATGATTTGGCTTTGTGATAAGATGTTGTTACAAGTATGTAACACTTGTAGGTAAGTAATTACATGCAAGTAGGTCATACAAGCATGTAACACTTGTACTCCTCCAAGGATTTCCTTAAAGGATGAATTGTATCTGTAATAATGTGTATTTACATTATTCATGATGTGATGAAGCATTTTGCTTTTTCTTTTTTCTCGGCTTTGCCTTTTCTATTAAGTAAGTCTCTTTGAGATGCTTGATTAACTTCAGATTTTCTGAGGCTGCTTTCACTCCAGTGTAAGCATGAGATTAGGTGATCAAGACTATTTTCTTGGATTAAGATAGTTATCTTAGATGGATGATAATATTTGTATTGACATTGTCAATGTGTTGTTAGCCTTTCAGATTGTGATGTGAGATTAAGATTGGTCTTAATCCCCAATTGTAGACTATTGTAGCCAAGTGATGATGACATTTGTCTATCACCTGATTTAAATGGTCTTTAGGCTGTAGATTCAAGTGAGTTTTTAGACACTTTGTGTCTTTTTCTTTTCTGTTTCAGTTGCTGGTGAAATACTGTTAGTCATTTTGACTTTTTCAGAGTTTCGGAGATTCCGAGATTTTTCTCTTTTTTCTGATAAATATGTTTGATGTTAATGTATTTTGATAAATGAGCTTTCCTGTCTACTTAGGTAATGATTCCAAAGATCGTCCTTCATTTCCTCCTTGGAATCTGGTTGTAGCAGGTGTTCAATTATCAAAAGTACTGTAATAATTTGATTTGTGACCCGAATGCACGAATGCACCAAGTTGGTAAATCCTGTAATAATTTTTTAAAAATAGTAAATGGCACTATTTTTGCAAAGTTATTACAAGATCTGTTACCCTAATAGTTGTTAGATAAAATACAGTAGAATGTCTACTGGTTTTACCTGGAATAGGGTATGATATAGTTGATTATAGATAGATTGTAATGATGCTCTTACAGTGATGATAACACTTTTTTAAAGAATATTATGTAATGAGCAGCTCTGAAAATCAGTAGATTAGAGATAATGCTAGATAATACACTTAAATATACATGTAATGTTACCACAATGAGGTAGGTAATGGTATTTTATGATTAAGATGCAGTTGTGTCTGTGACACTGATATACTTAAGTACTGTTGTTTCTTAACACAAAACAATATCAGTATGCTATGAATACTATGAATGCTTACTAGTTAATGGATATGGTGGCTTAAGCCACTGCAAACAATATGTTTACTTAGATATATAGCTATGATAAATATTGGCTGATAGCTAGGTTAGGCTAGAATATGTAAGAATTATTCCAATGCAAAATCAAGAAGTTTCTTATGTATTTGGCATTGAAATATTCGGTAAACGAATGATCATAAATATCTAGGTATAAAGGACCATTATTATCTAGGTTCGAAGGACCATTAATGTGGGAAAAACCTGCTGGGATTGATATAAGAGGAAACTACCAGGGACTTGTATTGAACTAAATTAAAAATTTACTGTCTGCAAATTAATTCAACTAAAATCTCTAGCTAGGGTTGTAAATCCTAGATCCTCTTTTCCTAATGACAAACTGTGGGCTGTAAGGGACAGGTGGGGTGAATGACTATGTTGATAGAAGTTCCAATCCACCTGTAGACAGGGATCTCACATCAGCTTGTATTTTATACAAGGATAAGATTTGATAAATTCAGTTATCTGACTGAACACTGGCTCTGTTTAAATCAGGGATTTAAACATACATAGTCTAACCTAGCACCATAACTTAACAGCCAATATGTACTTATACTATAAACAACAAATTAAATTGTAAAAGTATAAATAAATGACCTTAAATGTAGTCTTAATACTATTAACTTAGTACTAGAAATTATATTCAATTAAATGAACTTATATGATAACTTAAAAATTAACTAAGCAAGCAATTGATAACTTAATTTATATATTCAAATATATATGCAGACATATTCACTTATATGATACAGTTAGCTTGAGTGAATCTCTTCCAACGCTGTAGACACTTGTGAGGTTTTTACTTATTGAGGCTGAATTCTTTTCTGACAGAATGGACACTCATGAGGTTCAGTGCTTGGATAAGATTCACAGCTACACTACGATTTTAATAAACTTACTGATATGTGAGGCTTAGCCTCGCTTTTTAACCAACAGACAGATTTATAGGATATTAAAGCTACACAAGCATACAATTGGCCAATCATATACCAAATAACCTTCAATATACTTCTCTGCCAGTCGGGGTGCCTGTCTGACAAGTTTGCCAGACTGATTAACTCTCTCTTGTTGAGTTTAGGCACGATATTTTGCTACAACGTTGCTGTATGATGATCTGGTAGCGTTGCTACGTGATTATCCTGCAGTTGCAGAAGAATGATTCGAGATAAAAGTTTATGAATGAAGGAGGAAACCGTGTCACTGATCTCCACTATACACTCTATTTTATGTGAATGTTCTAGGATTTTCCTTGTAGATATTGTCCAGGTACTCCCCCAGTTCTAGAGAGTATTCACTGGCGATAAAAAATGTTAGATAAGGTGTCCTTGAGCTGGTATGTTCGCTAAGGATCAGTCACTTGTTCACTCATTTGTAAACAAACGCGGAGTGCCCCGAGGCATCGTCGTGGGCGCTTCTCGCCCCCCGAGAGCCTTCCCCCTCTCCCTTGAGAGGTAGCTTGCAATGAATATTGATTGATTATTTTTACAGTCTAGACTTATGATTAAGATAAGATGTGATTATAATATAATTAGATATAAGATTTAAAGATTATAAGTAGTATTTGAAAGTACCACTGAATCTTATTAAGGATTCGATTTTTAATCCTACCGGATGTTGAATCAATGTTCCAATAGTTTTTTAATTAAGAAGTCCTTCTAGAAGCTTCTGGATCCTTGAAAGATCATGTACAAAGTCACGTAGGCATCAAAAGGGCCCCTGTTGCGTACGTGTTCATGGTGCCATTGTCATCCAGGATCAAGCTATAAAATGAATCTTTAATGATCCTAATATGATTTGATACGATTTAGATATGATTTTGATATGATTTAGATATGATATAGAAATTATACATTTCTTAGATGATTATTAGATATGGTGGGTAAAAATTTCCCACATAATCATTAATTTTTGTTACATGCTCATTTGCCCAGAGTTGCCTAGGGCAAGTTATCCAGAATAAAGCTTGTACATCTACTTTGGAAGATACCCATCTACAATACAGTGTGTCTGATAGTAGTGGGACTGCCATTTTCAGGGAGACTCCAGAAAACCAGCAAGTACAGTGGTCTGGGACATTGTTTCAGGCTTGTACCAATAGTCTCAAAAACCCTTGGTGCCTTTTTAGAGATGCCTTACTAGGCAAACTAGAGATCTATCTTGAGGTTATCTTGATTTCGGGGCTTAGTGTTCCCGCAGCCAGGTCCTCGTCCAGGCCTCCTTCTTGTTACGACACCCCCCCCCCCCAGGAATCAGCCCGTAGCAACTGTCTAACTCCCAGGTACTGTACCTATTTACTGCTAGGTAACAGGAGCATCAGAGTGAAAGCAACATTTTGCCCATTGTCTCCACCGGGGATCGAACCCGGAACCTCAGGACTACGAATCCAAAGCGCTGTCCACTCAGCTGTCGGACGCCGCTTTTAGGTCTGCAACCTAAGTGCAACCAATCTCCTGTTTCATTATTAAAAAAAAAAATTATAATAAAATTACAACCCATCCTCCAGGAATGATAGAACCTATAACTACTGTTTCACTTTGTTCTATAGTAACAGTATAAAACTTTCCTAACCTATTCTAGGCTAAATAGTAATTGTAGACAAGCATGCACTCTCTTGGGCCTAGTTTAGTACATGATGCACTATATTAAAGCCTAGGAAAAGTAAGGATTTTTTTTTTTTCAGGCCCTTGACAAAATTAATACTGTAATATAAGACTATATATGGCTAAAAAATACACATTTTGTTCTTCCATCCAAAGTAACTATAAGAAGTACAGTTCTACCTATTTTGGACGACACGAATATTTAATACAGAAATGAGAAAATGTTTATTTTCCTCTGAATGCAGATTGCATTTCATTGCTAAGGCACAGTACTGTACTATGATTTGTGCACATCAGAAGAATTGAAAAATACATTTGTGTACTGTAATTTTATTTTCTTATATATATATATTTTTTTAAATGTGCTATACATTGATTAATGAAAAGAAACTGGTGTAATGATTAATCTTAACTTGCTATCAACAGGTCCATGCCAAACATGAAGAGAAGACAGATAGTCGCTCTGTTTACCGTGAATATAATAGAGAGTTCCTGCTTCCCAAGGGTACAAACCCAGAACTGATCAAATCTTCACTCTCTAAAGATGGAGTGTTGACTGTGGAATCGCCACTTCCAGCAATCGTTGGAGGTGATGAAAAAGTCATTCCCATTGCACAGAACTAATTTCTTGAACCTTTATTAAAAGTAATAGGCAAGGATTGAATCCACAGCAGCATTAAACCTGTTTAGGTGAGCAAAGCACTCATATATTTCGGTGAAAAATAAAGTATTGTTGATTAATCAATTGTGCATTTTTTTCATTAGTTAACCATCAATTTATAGACTACTAAAGGTAATTACTGTATTAAATTTTTGGAGAGTAGTTTGTAGTGGTAATTTTGTTTTTCATAGTTTTGATGATGGTTGAAATGGAGACAATAACAAATGTTTAAATGTGTTATAATAATTACAAGTTTCATTTTATACTAAAGATATCATCCTAATATGCAGTATCATGTAATTATACAATAATTATACTTTATATAACATTAATGCAGAATATAAAAGTACTAATTTTTGTTTGTCATAAATTACATGCCTCAGCTGCCAAGATAATGTAACACCTCTAGAATTAGTAACTACTATAGGCACAAATAAATTCTTTGTATATCCTACACTTTATGTAGAATGTCAGGCATTGAGGAATTTTATTTTAACATTATTTATAATAAAACTGCAATGTACAACTTTCAGAAATAAAGAGATTATAGTAATTGTGTGTGCATCCCTCTACTGTGTAACTGTTCACTCTGCCCATCATTTAATTTAGTGTCCTAAATAGCCATCCATCACGACGTAACTTCCTGACAAATATTTGAAATTACTGTATCATTAATAAATTATACATGGCTATTTTACTAATACTTGCTCATTAACCATTTCATTTATCAACCCATTCCATCCAGAGGTCAACCCCAAAGAGACATTCATCAATTTTTAACATGCTGTTCATTCAAAACGAGAATTTTCCCAAATACAAATTATTAATATTAAATGTCGGCATATTGTGCACATTTAGGCATTGGTTATGTTGGGTGTTTACATTCTGTTGGTACCTACCTGTATTACGTAGGTAAAGTGGTGGTTCGAACAAGTGTCGTTAGCAAAGCACTTGTTCCAGAACTGTTCGGACATCACGTTGAATCTTGTGTAAACCATTTTTCATTCATAAACATGGTTTGTTTGGTGCATGGAATATACTTTGGCCTTTTGTTTGAGGATGGGCAGCATTTATTCATCAGCTCTGACAAAATCTGAACGATATACAACTGCAATAAGGTTGTTTTTAAATCTATATTACTTTCATTCACACATGTACTAATATAGTCCAACCACTTGGGCTGGACAGTAGAGCGACTGTCTCGCTTCATGCAGGTCAGCGTTCAATCCCTGACCGGCCAAGTGATTGGGCTCCATTCCTTTTCCCCCATCCCATTTCAAAATCTTTGACCCCTTCAAAGTGCTATATAGTCGTAATGGCTTGGCACACTCCCCAATAATTCTCACTTGTACATATAGTAGTTTCATGGATTAACAAACACAACCACACTCCAAAAGTCATACACAGTAGTACTTAACTACATAATACCAGCCCCCCCCCCTCCCCCTTTTGGGAACTGCCTTAGGGCTGAAGTTGCTTTTGAGATTATCTAACACAGGAGCCAGTCAACTCACTGTTCCTGTTAATGTAGAACACTGTATTGTACTATGAACTGAAATGAACCCTCGCACCTAATCTTGACCACGAGCTAAGTAATATGAGCCAAGTTAATTGAGCTAAGTAATTGTCAAAAGAAGGCATCAAGCTGGGGAGAATATGAACTTATGAGCTACGTAGTATGGTTACAGTACCAAGAAAGGAAGGGGAAAGGGGGGGTGAAGCTGGGTGAATGTCTACCTGGACAACCATGTATTTGAAACGTTTTCTTGATCTACTAATCGCACTTTTATTTTCGCTGTCACATTTGAGGCAGTTGGTGCATGTAACACGGTGCAGTATCATTCACAAAGGCACACTTGCTTGATTTTCAGACTACTGAAAACTTTGAATATAAAACTCAAACTAAAACAACCTTGCCCTCAATAAGATCAATTCTAATAATTTTTTGGTCTTCAAGCAACAAACATGAACAAAGTTCTTTAATGTAAATTCAGATGATCTGATCACGGACAATTTGAAACTACATAGTATGTACTTTAGTCAGCAGGTATAAAGTATTCACTTTCCAACGGCAGCATATTAATAAACCTGATAGAAGTTGGTCTAAAAGAACAATCTCTGATGGCACAGTGGTAATACTTCACGAGAGATTTGTCTAGGTTCGAGTCCTGGCCAGGTAGGATTGTCTGGGCATAAATTCTAAACTTTGCCTCTGTTTACCCTGCAGTAATTGAACACCCGGTTGTTAATTAATTGACCAGTCATGTTCCAGGGAAAACTAGTGAATAGGCTTATCATAGCTTAAAGTAAGGGAAAAGCACTCTGCCTGTTAACAGTAGTAGTCTGTTCTGTACTTGCCTGTTACAAAAAAGAAAAAACTCCAATTATTAGGACATCTTAGAGATTCATCACAAGAAACCCTATATTGTCAAACCCATGCATGTCTCTTGTCAGTAATAAGTAACAACTGTCATGACCTTGAAAGCTATTCTGGAATGCCAGGACTGAACTACAGGCTGATGTTCCCAACTTGTATACCTGTACCATGCAAGGTGATCATGGTGAAAAAAGCTAGCAGCACATATATAGAGATAAGGGACTTTATTAAACACCACCAACATGGATTCAAGGATGGCAAGTTGTGCCTCAAGTTAAATATGATAACAAGAAAGGGGAGGATGGACTACTTTTTCTTGGACTGTCAAAGCCTTTGACATAGTGCCCCACAAGAGGATGGTATCAATACAAGACAAAACAATAGATATGTTAATTATCAAAAGAAGGCGCCAAGCCGGGAATGCTATGTAGCACCATCAAACGTGCAGAATAATCAGAGGGCGCTAAATATCACTAAGGATGCCAATATGAGAACAGAAACGCATAAGGCGAATGATATCAAAAGTATGATTCACCAAGAATTCTATCGAGGGACAAGGGACTACGAGGGACAGTCGGAAAGCAAGACACGCTCATCTTTGAAGTCTGGACATTCAACAAGGATATACACAGCTGTAAGAGGGACAATGCAGTTTGGGCAATAATGAGTAGGGTGGCGCTCCATTAAGTGTCCACGAGTTAAGCGTACAGGTGAGACACACACATTTAGGGAATGACATTTAAAAGAAACAATAAAGTAAGAACATCTGGGAGTACACAATCCCATCATAAGCTTATGTGAACAGAATAACATTAGCATCTTGTGGGACACTAGCAAACATAAGAATGTCTTTAAGAATCTTAAATATTTGTACAGACATTCATATGAACAAAATTAATAATGATGAGGCTTTCAGTTTCATACACATTGGCTATGTGAGACCAATGCTTGAGTGTGCAGCTCTAGCATAGAACTCTCACCTTGTGAAACAAATGAGAGAAAGTCAACAGGTTTGCAACTAGATTACCACCATAATTGAGAGGCCTCAGCTACAAGGACAGATTAAGAGAACTCTGCCTCACAATCTTAGAGGAGAAAAGAAGCGAGGGATATGATAATTACATAAGAGATCTTAAGTGGATAAAGGAAGCCTATTTAAATTAAAAAAGGTAGGACAAGGAGACATCAGTGGAAGCTGGACATGCAAGCGAGTCAAAGAGATGCAAGAAAGTTTTCATTACCTGTATAGGTGGTAAGAAAGTGGAATGCATTGAAGGAAGAAGTTGTTGAAACCAATTCCATCCACAACTTTTAAAAAGAAATACAGTACAATTAAAATTATAATATTGAGAAGGGTAATTAGCATGCCAGGTATGAATGGCTAGGACATGGATCATAAAAATCTAAATCTCACTCATCCACAGTCACTGATAAGCAAGCTCCATGCAAAACAATTCCCCAGGGACTGAGCTTTGCATGGAGTACTTGCCAGTAATCTTTCTCAAGGGACTGAGAATATTGGATATAGATACAGACACAAATCATAGCTCATCCTATGCAAATGAGACTAGGATTTTTACGAGAATAGAAACAAGAGGACACAGTCTCCAAAATGAAGTAAACTTGATTTTGCAATGGGCTGCAGAAAATGTACAAACAAAAATTTTCAAGGAAGCCAAGTTCCAGCTCTTTAAATATGGATAATACAGAGAAATCAAAACTGAAATTAAATAAAACATTTATACAACTCGATAAAAAGCACCAGCAATGTAAAGGAACTGCAAGTCATATCAAAAAGCCTTACCTTTAAAGAACACAAGAACTTTCACTGTAAACCCATTATATAAAATATCTAAATTATTTGGAGCACTTAAAATCCTTGAAATTGTACTCCTTGAAGTGCAGAGGAAGGTGTGTGTGTGTAATTAACTAAGTGTATTTACAGAATGAGAGCTACACTCGTGGTAATTACCTAACTGTATTTACAGGATGAGAGCTATGCTTGTGGCAATTACCCAAGTGTAGTTACAGGATGAGAGCGACACTCATGGTGTCCCATCTTCCTAGCACTCGTCATATAACACTGAAGCTGCCAACAGTTTTGGCCTCCACTACCTTCTCACTTAACTTGTTTCAACCATCTACCACTCTGTTTGCTAAAGTGAATTTCCTTACTTTTTTTTTGTCAGCTTTATTTAGTTAGTTTAAATTTATGACCTCTGGTTCTTGAAGGTCAAGGTCTCAAGAATTCTTCCCTATCAATTTTATCAATTCCTGTTACTATTTTGTACATAGTGATCCTATTTTGTCTCTTCTATCTTCCAGTTTTGGCATACTTAATGCATCTAACCTCTCCTTGTAACTCTTACCTTTCCGTTCTGGGAGCCATTTAGTTGCATGTCTTTGCACTTTTTCCAGTTCCTTGATAGGCTTCTTAAGATATGGGCACCATACAACTACTGCATGTTCTAGCTTTGGTCTCACAAACGTTAGAAAGATTAGAAAAAAATGCCTCCACCTGGAAATCAGAAATGCTTAGAAATAAATAATGTTTAGAAATGCCAGAAAATTGCAATATGATGAGGATTGCAAACTTTAGTCAACAAGACAAGACCTCTCAAAGGATGACAGAGAAAAGCTGAAAATGAACCCCATTGAAGCAAAATGTCTAAATGGGGATAGAAATGAAGAAAGGAATTCTTTTTTTTATACAAAGTGTTAGGGACTGGAAAGCTGTGAAATGGGACAAAGACAAATCAACAAAATCCTTAAGACAATAGACTGGGAGGCCTACGAGGCAAGAATGGAGGACATATGGACAGACAGATTTGTAAACCTCATTTTGGAGACATCCATATATAAACACGTCAAGCAGGCTACAAGAATGAAGGAAGGGGATGTTCTGTCAATACTGGTTCTAATATTCCCCAGGAAAGAAGAGGAGGTACAGGTATTTGACATCCAGTACCTTCCTCCCTTGGGAAAGAGTGATCATGTCCTGTTGGACATTAAATATGCTTTACAATATAATCTAGTAGAGAACAGGGACATTGAAACAGTTGATAAGCTCGATTTCAAGAGAACTTAGAAAATGTTTTTATGGGTATAATTGGACAGACTTGTTGCTAGGCAAGGAAGTAAATGAGATGTGTGCCAAATTTTGCAAAATATACGAT